TATCATTAATAAATTATTATTTTATTTAAAAAATACTAAATACAATTAAATTTTCTAGGCAAATTTGCCTGGAATACGGTTTAAGAGATAGCATTTTTGTTATTCTATAATATTATAATAGTTTTTTAGTAATCTTTTTAACATTTTATAGTAGTTTTATAGTGGTTTTACAGTATTATGATGAGTTTAAATTATTTGTATAATAGGTTTAATTGTTTTTGTAGTTTTATAATATTTATATGACATGATTATCTAGAACTTTTTCCAATGATTCTCTAGTTAACAACAATTTTACTAAACTACAGTTAACATTATAGAAAATTACAAAGTTAACATAACAATATTCTTAGTTTTGTATAAGCAAACTTGTTGTCAATGAAGCTTACTAATACATGATACACTGAGAAGCAGACATATAAGAATAATAGATAGTTTGTACCTTGGATCAAGTTTCTCTTCTGATGAACTCCCTCACATATTTGGTATTCAAACCAAAAGAGTTATTTTAGAAACAAAGTTGTGGCCTATTAGTCTCTGGTCAAGAATATTAAGTGAAAATAGTGAAGTGGACTATATAATTGTAAAACTTATAAGAAAAATCTTATATATTCTCGTTGACTCTCACTGTTTTTTCAGGAAAAATTTTGTAAAAAGTGGACAATTTAACTTACTCTTTCCAAAAGATCAATGTATTGTTTACTTATCAAATCAGGCAGTTTTGTTTATTTTTTTTACCTGTCACAACAAAGATATAGATATATATAAAGTAGTGAATCTATAATTATATGTCTCAAATGTAATGACCTGAACAAACAATGCTTCGAGCCTATTGGTATAACTTTCTGATCTTTTTATAGTACTGCCATCGAAGAAGTTTTTTTTTTTTTTAGGTTTAAAATTTAGATATACTATGTATATAAATTAGTATAAAGAATAGTTTAAATAATAGTATGTAATTTTTAAAAAGCCTGACACAGGCTTATAATTGTGATCATCCAATATAAATAAAAAATCCTATATTTAGTTTAGTTTTTCTTGTTTTTCTCTACCTCTCTTTTATTTTTTATTTGTTTTTTTTTTTACTTTTTTCTCTATATTTTAGTAGTTTTTTTATAAAATTTTCTTTTTTTTACTTTTTTATGAAAAGATATCATCAGATTAGCAATATCCTATTGTAGAACAGTAGTCAGACAAGCCTTCAGTAGAGTATTATCTTAATTGATCATATTTATCTGGTATGGCATGGTTATCTATAGATATATATAAGTAATCAGTTAGGTTATACAAAGTAACTACAGAATATTAAATCTGTAGTTTTAATATTTTGTACTTCCACAAATAGCGCTTGATTAAATAAAGATACTAGAGCAATTTGCCAAAGTAAAGCAAAAAAAAAATAATATTTATATGATTGTTGCAGTAGTCTTATAGTAGCTTAAAGTTAGCATCTGTTTAAAGTTATAATTTTAAATATTTAAAATTTAAATTATTTAAAATTACTAACTAATATGTGTAAAAAAGATTTAATATTAAATATTAATTTTGAGGATCCTGTTAATAAAATAACAGAACAATCATTATTACAAAATCAAATAACTTTATAATTTTTATATATTTAAATTTTAGGTTTATTATTATAGAATCTTATCTATTGTTCTAGTTAATTAGATACAGATTTTTTAAATTAAATTGTAATCATATTGTAATATAGATGCTTGGCTTAACCTAATTTTAAATATTATAATAATAAATATGTTATCACCAGTTAGGGGTATGCTATTTATTATATAATATTTTTTATTTAATAGCCATCTCATCTATGCATAGTGTGATCACTTTAGCTTGATTCTAATTGGCCGATTTAATAATTAATTAAAAAAAATTTTTTAATATTTTTAAAATTAAATAACTTTTAATTTACTAGTCTGTTTTGAATGATTTAATTATCAAAATGTTCATCTTGATAAGATGATTCTAATAAGTCCAAAATCACTAAAATCTAATTACAAGATTTTGAGATCATTAAGATTTTTTGTACTATTTCATATATAATAAAATTAATTTTATTATATATGAAATACTGTAAATAAATATTACAGTTAATGCTAATTTTAGCTAATATTAATTTTTAGAGATCTCAATTTGGATCTATTATATCTACTAAAACTTATATATACTCTTTAATCAACAATTCTAATCCTAAATTCTAGTTCAACTATTAAAAAAAAGCTAAAAAATATAACTCAAAAAATTATAAAATTTTATATTAAAATAGATTCCAAAATCAGTATTAGTCAAATTAGTATTAGCTATAACAATAAATAAAAAAACAAAATTGTTTTAAAAAAGATTATATAATTTATAAATCATGTGATAGTAACTATAAAGCGTTTGTGACTATATAGAGAGTAAACCAATATTAATTTAATTGGTAAATAAAAAATGTGATTATATTGAGTTTGTGACTATATCGAGAGTAACTATATCAAGATGTGACTGTATATACAACAGTACTTATTTTTTTACCAGTTTCTTGATATTTTTTCTTACCAGTATTATTTCTTTAATAATTATTCTTCTACAATTTTCTTTAACAATACTATTTTCAAAAATAGGCAAATTATTATCTATTATATAAAAAATTAGCAAAAATAAAATTAATCAATTTATTTTTACTATTTTCTATACAATAAATAATAATAAGTAATTATCTTGTTCATATTAATAAAATATTTTTTTATACTACTCACGAATCCTATTTTGAATAGGTTTATAAACCGGATTTTTAAACTAGTTAAAACTCAAAATTAGTATTACCTATAACTCTACTTCTGACCATAGAAATTGGATCTGATCACGAGTAATTTATTTACCAATTAACGGTGGGGGACTACATGGCCGACAAATACGTATTTTAAATTATGTATTAACATCATGTTCACCCATTTACCCATTTATGCACGTGCTACTTACATTTTGGTGATTAATTCCATTAGTGCTAATTTAGTGTCTACAATGAAATTCACTAAATTGGGATTGGGGGCTGCGATTAATCACACCATAAATTTAGTGGTTATTATTGGGTTAAAATCACGTTGATAATGTTGATAATGTTGATAATAAACTATGGATTTATGTAACACCAGCATTATCAGAAATAAAGTTTACCAATAATATACAGTATATATTTCGCATTTAGTTAACATACGCCCAAGAAACGATTTTCGGAAAACATGATATTAAATTCAAAAGCGAAAGGCTAACGCTAATGTAAAGGGGAAAAAAAAGAAATTATGGCACAAAAGATAAGAAGGCACAGACGATAAGAATTAAACCAACTAAGGAAAATTATTTTAGATTGATCGATATTTGTACCAAATTTCCACGTTTTATTGCATATATAGATTAGTAACTGTAGTCAGATGAGATCGTAACACCAAATTCTACAAAAAAAAAGTATATTTGATACGTATTGATTTGCAAATTCGGCCTAACTTTGTTCGACTTATATTTACCCCAACGATTATGTATGATTGTGAATGGGTATGATTTGCACAATATTATATATATATATTATTAATCGACCAAAATCTATACGCCTTTATATATTCTAATTCAAAACTGAAAATTTCCTTATGGTAGGTGATTATTTCAATTTTCATAGGCTTATCTACAACAATGCGATGAAGGAATTGAATATGAAATAATAGAAATTTAAAATATTAGAACAATGTCAAATTACATATACTTTGTTGTTTTGTCACGTTTCCAACTTAAAAACTGATCAATTCAATTAATTCAATTCAATTCAATTAATTTTAATTCAATTTTAATTCAATTAATTCAATTGGTAACTTTTTGTTTTTTTTCAAATGTCATCCTTAATATAATTAATATAATTATGAATATAAAATTGAACAATGTTTACGAACAGAGATTCTTCTTTTCTTCACCTTTATCTTGTTTATATGCGCGATATGAAGGTTGCATTCGGCGGCACGGCACTGAGTCTTTTTTATTGATCGGTTTTTGCCTTCTTTTACGATTCACAACATTTCCAAATAACCATTATAGTCATTTGGTGGTATGCGAGATTCAGAGTTCAATGCAAGTATTGCCAATTCATCTACAGTGACAGATATTAAATGTAAATCCAATCAATTGTTTAAACGAAGAAGGTAATGTACAGGTGACAGATGACGTATTAGCATTCAGAGTTTGTTTTAAAAAAATTTTTTTTATCGCTTTTTTTTTTTTTTGCGTCATTACACATACGATATCGACATACGACATCCACATCGACGATATCAACCTAACTAACAAAGCTATTAATTATTCGATTATGGCATTGCGCGTGCGTAACAATTTAATGCGCGTGTTAAGAGGGAAAAGCAGGGCATTTTCAGACCATTTTAAGGACAGATAACGCCAAATTACTAATTTCCGAAAATGATTTTTTTTAAATTGGCAATCGTAATGAAGATGATCCAGGTAGAGTATGATTTACGCATGTTATTAGACAATGTAAAGGTTAAAAATAATAGATAATGATATTTTTTTATAAATAATGGATTCTACGTGTCATTCCTTTTTTAAAAGAGAGATTTAACAATCTATTGAACAATGAATATTGCAAGGAGTTGCCGCGCGGAGAACTTCTGCGATAAATCGTGGCACATGCTAGATCTCCAACGCAGCATCACTGAGTCGTCTCTGAGTCAGCCCGAGTCATAGGCGCAGTATTATTCGAATATATGTGCGTATGTACATACTGATACATAAGTCCCTGATACGTAAGTCAGCGAATAACAAAGTGGCTAAGAAGTGGCGTTACAGCAGTACTTCACTATAGAACTACAGCATTTAAAGTTTCATAAACTATTAAATCTCAAAGGTTCTACTTTGTGATATTTTAATAACTTGTTCACCATATATTGATTTCAAATTTCACTGTTAATATTGTAATATATTAACTGATAACGTTCGCATTCGTTCGCATTCGTTCGCATTCGATGGTCGTACATACTATATTTCATGATCCATCGAATTGATGTAGTAAAAACTATTAATACGCCCGCATGCGTTTGGAATCAATGTTTATTTGGTGATATCTCCGAGAGTTGAAAGAACAATGTACGTAATTATAATCCAATATGCGTACGTACAGAAAAAAAAGAAAAATGGGACAAACGTCCAATCAACATTCCTACATATATTATGTGTGACTATTGGATTTTATTTGTTAATTAAGCAAATCAACTAGTTTTTAAACAAAGAATCGATATAATTTGGTAGGGAGTCACTTTCAATTATTATTATTGTTATCATTTATTTTTCACTTTGAATCACAATATTGTTCTTAATGATCATCTGATTAACTAAATTTCTTTCTCGACAAATACTCTATAGAACGATCGTCATCTTTTCTCCCACAAAATAATTAAATAATTACATCTATAAAACACCTAATAAAGTAACCTTAAAGATGGCGTAAGAATCTCGCTATATGTAAAATCGGGTTGTTCAACATTCAGCATATCACATTTTTGGTCTTTTCATTATTAAATTACACATTGATCACATTATTCACGATCCACTCTAGATAGATTGTCATAAAGCCACTTAGCCTTGAATTGTTTAAGGTTTAAAAAAAAAAAAAAAATCGGTACATTTCTTGTGAATACAAAGTTCACCTGAAAAAAACAATTAATTTACTTTATTTTATTGGTGGATTTTCTATAATTCATTTGAAGATTGGACCAATTAAATTACTATGGAACTTTCTCTTAATATAAAATAAAGATAAAATCAATGTATAATAAATATATATATATATACAAAATTATATATATATATATATATATATATATATATGTATACAAATTATATATATATATATATACGTATACAAAATTATATATATATATTTGTTTTGAATTAAATTTATTTCTTGTTGATACGTTAAATATTCTATTCAGTGAATTTGCAGATTTTTACTTTGCTTATTTGTGTATGTGCGTGAGTTTATTGTTACAAAAGTAAAAAGTGTGGGGAAAACCAAACAAAAAATTTATTAAAATGTTGCAAATCGAAAAATAATTTTACAAATCGCATTCATTGATTATTTCAATATATATTTAGTGTTACAGACCCTATTTCGTGAAACATTGGAGTCGTCTGTGCATGGTAAAAAAATCTTTTTTTTTTTTAGATTATCACGATGGTTAATAAACAATGTTATGTAATGATATTTTCTTTTGTGAAGATTGAGAAAAATAACGTACCCACATACATACTATGTACACATACATACTATGTACGTAAGTACTTTTAATGATCTTACTGAAATCAAGTGGTTTTAAGAGAAAAAAAAAAATATTAATCAATCCATAAAGAATAAAACCATGTTTTAATTTTTCTTTAATACATTTCAATTCCGAGTTTAAACAATCATTTCATGCGATAAGAACCATTAATTATAAGATATTAAGGTTCATTTCGTAATCAATTATCTGGGGTACATAATCATCATCTAATCAACTATCTGGGTTAAGGAGGTCCAATTCAGGATTTGTTTTCTTTTTCTCAAGTAATACATATTTAAATTGCAGGGAGAAAGATATACTGTAAACCACGTATTTCGAGCCATTGTCTTGTAAAATTTCAATTAAAGTAATTTTATAGATCACGTTCATAAGCCTTCGACCTAAATTTGATATTTACGTAATGTTGATTGCGAAATGTAGAAATGAACTTTATCTTGAATCACCTGTCACAAAAATAACCAATGGATTCTCCATTTTTGTATTTATTAAAATGAAAGTATATATGTAGAAAGTATATAGTATTTGTATATTATGTATAAAAAAAATAATACGTAAACGTTAAACGGTAATGATACAGAGTAATAATAAAATAATAATATATAGTAATAATAATATTCTTACGTATTTATTTATTATTATATATTTATGATTCCTTATTTTGGATATTGTGGGGTAATATTAAAATGTAAAAAATTTATTGGTTTTGTAAATCTTTACCCAGGTAATCATTGATTGTGTTACTTAAGTGAAGTTAGTGATCGAACTACGTATACATCTTATACATCTTATCATCATCATTAAACATGAATCACCGCTTAAATCAGCGATACAATCAGCGGTACGTTAAATTACCGATACTTAAGAGGATATATGTAAAGTGTTAACAAACTTGATACATTTACTTGGAATATAACAATAGCTTCATAAGTCAATGTATAATAAGTCAATGTATAAGTCAATGTATATTAGTCAATGTGTAAATCAATATTTAAAACTTTTAAAACGAAATGTAAACACGTACGTACGAAATTTACTATAGATACATATCAAGTTTTACCATTATCGTTATTATAAGCCTTTGTCTGATTTCAACTTATGACCATTATTAACTAGCTTCGTATGCAAATGCATATATCTGCTGTATTCTACCCAATAAACCGAATAAGTAAAATAAATCATGCAGTAATATTTATGGGGATTAAAAATCGGATATAAAGCTTTATTATCCATTATCGTAATTTCTTGATCTAACTTTATTTAATCTCAATGCCTTCTATTTTGTCCTCTATTCGTCCTCTATTCGCCCCCTATTCCCTCACTATTTGCCCCCTATTCTCCCACCATTCGCCACTATTCGTTTTACATTGAAAATATAGGAAAACAAGATTCTGTTATTGTTAATGAATAATGTTTCAAGGATTCATACGTATTATGTGTTTGTTCTAACCAATTTTTTGTACCAGTTTTTTTGTACGTATCATACGTTTGTATCATATTTTTGTTGAAAAACTTTATTAATCATATTAATCATATTAATCATTCGTACGTATTAATCATTGTAGCCACGCTTACAAAAAAGGTAAACTTTTATTGTGTCACAAAAAAATCTATTTCAAGATCACTATGGCTTGTCAAATGGCACATAAATTTGTTTGATTATTGTTCTCATTTATATTATCTATTTTTGAAACATATCATTATACTATTATAGATAAAGTGGTATGCAAAATAAATAATGATAATGGACGTTACCAAGAACGTGGCGTGTGTTTAACAATGACTCTGGAATCTTTTTCACAATGGACATTCAATCCAATTTTGTCCCCATATTAAAATAACCAATAGAATTTCTTACTACCAATTTTAGCCACCACCTCGGCCTTACTCAATCCAAATACCAAATATTATTATTATTCTCGGTTATTTGCCACAAAAGTCTAATTTTGTAGATTTAAATGATTTCCTTTGTATTTTTTGCGTAACTCAACAAACCCCCGTTTTAAAAATTTTTTGGGAATTTATTCGATGAGAAATTAACTTCTATTTTTGTAAGCTTTAAAAGGTTAATCTTCGGAACTTTTTCATCCACTATTATTATTTGTACAATAGTTAGGGATACAACACTTGTACACGTGGAATTTTCTTTTGAACAATAGTTGAATAATGTTTTCATTATTATTACATATTCAGTGATTGATTCAAAAATCACACCCGAAGTTTCACACTCAAGAATTCTGACAAATATTTCTCTTGACTCGGGACTAACTCAGAGAAAACAATTCAAAAGCATACATTAATTATAACCTATGAATTGTTGTTATATGGTTATTTTGTTCTCAAATAATAAATGACCAAGGTTTTCCTCATTAACAGTTGAAACATTGTACTATATGTACATATTTACAATCCAATTGTTTAAATTGTTTAAATTGTTTAGAAAATTATACCCAGAGATCTGTCCAAATGCCGAAATGTAACAATGGGATGAATTTTATCTTAAACTTTTCTTTTTTTTCATTACAAACAATTATAAAAAAATCAATTGTTTAGTCTCGTCTACAATGTAATTTCTTATACACCGTCAGATTATTATCGTATATCGGCTTTTGCCATTGTTTTTTCGGTCCATTTCTTTAGTGTAATGATATTGTATAATAGTATTTTCTTTCTTCCATTTCTCTGACATAATAGTATTTTCTTTCTTCCATTTCTCTGACATAATAGTATTTTCTTTCTTCCATTTCTCTGACATAATAGTATTTTCTTTCTTCCATTTCTCTGATATAATGATATTTTCTTTGCCAAGAAATGTTATACGTATTAGTCTCGTGACAACTCTATTCACAAAAATAGGAAAAAAAAACAGGATAACGATACGTACGTACGTACGTACATATCTTAAACTATTCCGTATTTGTAAAACTATTATCGTCGTTATGTAACTTAGTCTCTTCATACATTGTTACTCATAATTTTAAAATTAGGTGACTTCAATCATATCATGCAATAATAGTAGTAATAATCATACGTACGTAATAATAATGCGTAACAGGTAATAATAATACGTACGTAATAATAATACGTAATAATAAAATTTTTTTTTATCCGGAAGAAGATTGATTTTCGAATTCTGGTATGATGTGATACAATCATATCTCAATGCTACAATATCGACATGAATTCTCTTTTCAGGAAAGTAGGTAACCATTCATAATCGAAAAGATACCAAAAAACAGATTCATTCTCTAAAATTCATATTATCTTATTCGTACAATCTAGAAAGGTGCGTAAATTGATACATACTTGAGAATTCCACCAAAAAAGGTTACGATATATGCGTTGATATCTCACATAAGTTAGTTCAAAAAAAAACCGTTGAAATTGAGAATAGTTAATTTCAACGTCTGTGGAAACTTCATCTTAATACGTACAGTACGTACGTAGTTATAAGTCACAAGTGAATCAAACTAATAAAGCAAATAAAGCGAACGAAACTAATAAAGCAAATAAAGCGAATGAAACGAATAAAGCAACAAAAGTGATTATATTGTTGAAGAATTGGTTCTTTTTACTTGAATTTCTTTTTACTTGAATAAATGTTTCTCTTTTTAGGATTTCAAACATGTTTTGCCATGTCGATATAGCTAGCATTCATTTATCAATTACATCGTAGAATGGATCTACGATATTCTTTGTATTTTTTTTTTTAATAGTAAGTCCGGTCTATTAACCTATTTCAATATTGAAGCTTATGCAATCTGACTTGTCAATAAAAAATTGACCGCATAATCATTATCATAATGATACAAAAAGAGCTCTATTACGATTCCTAAAATGTTCAAAATTAAAAAATTATGAATGTGAAAATAATATGTTGGAAAAAAAAAGAAGCCAATAATACTAAAGAAAAATATCAATACAAGTAACAGTGTTACTATGAATGGTTGACTCAGGTCTGATTCAGTGAAATTCTCGAACATTCAAGATACAGTAGAATAAATTTTTATCAACAAATTTTATGTTTATGCTAAATTTGAAACAAGGCCAAGTATACCGAAAATACCAAGAATGGTTGGATAAATACTGCAAATGAATGAAAGTAGAGTATCATCCGACCAGGATACGTACCTAATAGTTTAATAAATATTTAAATTAAATCGAATAAAATTGAATAAAATTGAATAAATTGAATAAAATTTATTAAAAGTAAATCCGGAGAAAGGACACCGAATATTCACATGTTTGTTCGAAATCCAGTACCTCGGATCATAATATTTCTTATTCGAAAAATTATTATAAAGTAATCATAAATTTATTAATTTTTTTATCCCTGCTTACTGCATACGTGTAATCGTAACGCAACGCCCAATCAATTAAACATACGTATCTATCACTCAAACAATTAATTAATGCTAGGCAAGGTAATTATTTTAAAATCAACAATTCGGCGTAATCTCTTTGGTTAATTTTATTTTTATGTTGTTAGCGTTACTTTGTGTTTATTGATAGTATTAGTTGGGCGAACCCCTTTGTGCGGTGAGAAAATAATTATATTGTGAGATTGGGATTGTGTTTCTTTAATAATGTTACGCAAAACTTTATGAAAAAAAAAGGCTCGATTTTGTTTGCGTTTTGATCAAAGTTATTATTATTTATGCATCTATTCTTTGTACCTTTATTACGTACTGTATTAGACTTTATGTTCCAATTTTATATGCTAAACTATATGCTAAAATATGTTGATTTTCTTTGCATTTTGTTTTGACACATAATATCGCGCATTTAGGTATCCATTGTAACAGCTACAGTATGTATACGAAAAAAGTTTCGTCCTTGAAACCTTGGAAATTCAGTTAATAAAAAATTCTGAGTATCAGGTATGTACATACGTACGTACGTAGTGGTTGTGGTTGTAAGTTTTTTTTTGATTGCCAAATTCTGTTATACTTACTGTATGAGTACGTATTTGATACATTC